TTTGTTTATATATCATTTGTAAGTCATTCATATTTTTGTTTATCAATTTGACACTGCTTAAATTTGTATCGTATAATAATTATCATGTTTCATTTCATTATTATCATTATTATTTTTTGTATTATTGTTTTACACATTCAAAATAAATCAAATCAAAAAAATCTAAATTGTGACTATCAAAAGTGATTTTCTGCATTTTCAGCAGATATGTTTCAACACAATTTCCACACAGCAGGTTTAGCAGAAGACGCAATTACAGTCATCCGTGAACTTCTAAAAGATTAGGGATGTGTAACGAGAACTGGTTGTCCAATCCATCAGAATTGTACACTTCCGTGTTTATCGTTTTCTTTCATCATTGTTGAAATGTTTTTTCTGACAGTTGCATGTTGTCAAAAGTTGGGGGTCACAACATAGAACTTTGCTGGAAACGCAAAGAAGTCAAGGCAGAAAGGAAAAATTGTCCAAGCATTGCATTACTTAATGAAAGAACATGACCACAGTCCTGATTGCAATGTCCCCAAAACAATAATGTCAGGGTGGAAACACCAGCAACATGTGGTAACATCAGTTGACGCAACATGGGCTGAAGTTCCAGGAATGCAATGAACTTCATTCTCTAAGGTTAAATGTCCTGTGTTATTGTTGTTAATGTTACCTTAACATAGGCAGGCTTTTTTATAATACAACAACTACAGGGACACTTAAACCATGTGTAGGCCTTATTTCTTTCCAAATAGAACTTTGATCGGAAATCGATAAAGGAATCAATCGAAAATTTGACCGGTAAGCAGAATCCATAATACCATTGGTATCAATTTCCATCAGTAGGATGCGTTCATCATTAAGTATTCAGTACAGGTGACTTGCATTTGAGCAGTGTTCAGAACTCAATACACAACCACTGCAGTAACATGAAAAAAACCTGAACTTTAAGCATACAAATCTGCTCTTCACACAGTTACCAAAACCAAGCATAGACAAGTCAGCAGTATTCAGGAAAAGGGAGCAAGGGAAGGAAGTATACCGATGGAGTATGAATGCAAAAACCCAAAAGACAGGAAGAAAATGATAGGATGATTGATTAAAAGCTGGAATGACAGAACGAATGCAGACATAAAGAACCTGGGAACATTTTGACACTGAATAGATGTAGTTGATATGACAGCCTGTAACAACACTGAAATCCAGTGGTGCCAAAACCAAAGCTGAGCCAATTCCTGTAGCTGTCCACAGCTGCTGCATTCACCATTACATCAAATGAGAACTGATTTAAACAATTTCCCACAGTGTTTTGATGTGAATTTTATGCTGGCATTATGTGATATTGTGAACATTTGCTTTAGCTGGGGTTATAATGCTCCACAATGTCGCTGTCTATCAAATGCTGGATAGAAAAACAGAGGAACACTGCAACGAAATGGGTTTTCCTCTTCACTGGAGCCAATGCAGAGAACACAGGCAGCTACACAAGACCAAAGACTAACAAGGGTCAGAAAGGACACGGACATGCACTAACAGGGTAAAAGATCTGCATACAGCAAAGGGCTGCCTCACACACATCAGTAGGCTAAATTAAGTAGCATCCATGGTGAATACAATACAAAATGCGCTCATGCACGAACTCGCACACACATGCAATTGCTTGTCATCAAACAATGGTAGGAGAAGAAGACGTTCATTTTCGCCCTGGGTCATGAATTAACACACTCCCACACAGCTGACAAAAAGGTGCACAAAAGCATGTAGTGGAGCATATTCATACACAGCCTTGATATGCATATGTGCACACATCTGGAGACAAAGACACAGCAGGAGAAGAGGGGAGGTAAATGAGGGCTTGGCTCAAATGCAGCACTGTTTAAGCCTCAGCATTTTGAGTTGTTTCTTAGAGGGTTTGTTTTATAGCGCTTTCTTCCTTTTTCTAACCCCTCTTCGCCGGCAACCACCCCTCTCCATCCCCTCTCCATCCCCTGCACCGTAGCTTCCCCACTTCCTGCTCTGCGCTCTGCTTTAGCCTCCTTCTGTCTGTTCTCCTCACGCAACTGGTCGGAGGGGGGAGAGCCCCTAACACTGCTGCCTCAGTCTGGTCTGCAACTGTGGCGAGGTCAGTCTCCCTCACACACACATACACACACTGCTCCGTTATAAAACATGCAGACATATGCAATGAACACACATATCGAAAGCCTGAGGTATTCTGCCCATTTTTAACGCCACAACAGCTCTCTTGTTGGAGTGCCTCTTCAACCAAGTGGGTTTTCTGTGCAGGAAGGTGTCCTTTAATACAGCACGTTCCTTGTTTAAACACGGCCAAATGGTAGGATCAAGGATGCTTGGGAAATAAGCCACAGAGACAACACATAGGAATAGAAGATTAAAGAGGCCTAATTCTGCTTTTTGGGCCCTTGCCTATAGTGTGTTATACAGGTCTTTGTGCTTGTAAATGCTCTGCAAAGACCCTTTTGAACATTAAAGCATGAAAACAAGTCACAGTAGAGGCACAGAATACAAATATGAACCTGAAAATGAGCCTAATAGGGCCCCTTTAATGCTACAGTAAAAACACACATGAATTGTCTGAAATGTCTGTTGTGCTACCCGGAGAGGAGTAGAATCGTGTCTTGTTAATAGAGATGCAACAATTATTGGACTAATTGATCAAAAGACAAATAATACGCAACTGTTTTTTTAATTGATTATTCACACATTTTTAAGAAATCTTTAATGCAAAATTGGCAGTATATGATGTCCTCAAATATGGATTTATATGATATTAAACAGAATATCTTTAGGGTTATGGACTTTTCATTTTGTTAACCAAACGAGGAATCTGATCATTTAGAAGTCAACTGCGGATTCACCAATGATGAAGTTACTAAGGACTTTTAGAAGAAGAAGACGATGACCCTGTATTACTCCCCAAGGGGACATTCAGTTTTTCACTCTGTTATTGTATACACACAGCACAAATACACACATGCATAGGACCTATACACATGAGGTCTGATTACAGCCTGGTTTATGGAGAGGGGCCAGAGCGAAGAGGCTGCCAGGTGTTCTGGCCCGAGGGAGCAGTTGGGGGTTCTGTGCCTTGCTCTAGGACACCTCGGCAGTTATTTTCAGTTCTGCTCTTAAAAGGTCTTTCTTGTTTAGGTGTGCGTTCACACAAACACAGTACAAAAAGAAAAGGAAGCAGGTGACCTTTGTATTGTGTGGAGTAATTAGGGTATTTTGTTGCAGTTGTTGTTGGATAAGAACCTGTCACTGTTTATGTTTACATATTTGGAGAGCGCATATGTGTGTGCATGTATCTGCTTTGGCAATTATCCAGGAAAGAGTGAGAGAATATAAATCAAAAAAATATAATTTGCAAACATGGGATGAAAATGGCAGGAGACGGTAAGATTTGAGTATTCCAGAATAATAAAAATAAGTAGAGAAAGGTACAGAACAGAGGAGCCACAGAGGAGCATGGAGACGAGGATGAAACAGGAACATGGGCAGACAGGAGGATGAGGAGGAGAGAGAGCGAGAAAGAGTGGTGGTGGTGGAGCAGAGGTCTCTTAACCTTGTGCGACGGGGCGTGTGCTTGTAAATAAACATCAGCCCGAGATTATTCCGAGCACGAAAGCCCAGACCGTGGGGCCCTGAGGTCAGAGTGGGCCCATACCTGGCTCACACACACACACACACACACACACACACACACACACACACACACACACACACACACACACACACACACACACACACACACACACACACACACACACACACACACACACACACACACACACACACACACACACACACACACACACACACACACACACACACACACACACACACACACACACACACACACACACACACACACACACACACACACACACACACACACACACACACACACACACACACACACACACACACACTAATCTACATACACACCTACAAAGACTGTGTCGAGAAAAGCCTATTCTAATACTGGTGCATGCACACTAACACATGAAAACAGACACATACATTCGGGATCTGAAAACCCACAAGCCTGCATGCATCTAAACACACACACACGTGCCCAAATGTAAACTGACAAATGCACACACACTAAATCTAGCAAGACAAACAGACAAAGAGAATACACAAACTGAAGTACCCACTCACACAGTGCCCACAGACTCACACACACATACACACACGGTACTGTTAACACCCCAGATGTCTGCAGACATCCAGTCATCCCCTAGCTCAGACGATGTGTGTCATCCATCTCATTTTTTGTTCTTCCCTTATTGTTTTTGAGGAAACGACCGATGAGTCCAGACACTGGGATGTGGGACTTTTTTTTAACAATGACATAATATGTTGCTAGATTTACAGCACACTCACACACATCCATCAGCTACATCTCACATCTTCTAATTGGAAGCGAGTGAGCCCACATCACCTTTGGCTGCCCTTCGTCCCTCCCTGAGATTCTAAAGATGTCTTGTCGTTTTTTAGTGATGGCAAAAAACTTGGACACTTTTTCATTCTTGCCGAATTCTTCAGGAACGTTCATGATGTAAGAAAATGTATCCTCGAAGGTTAAAGGTAGACACAGGTGGCCTTAATTCTTCGAAAAAGACAACTGTATCAAAGTATGTGAAACCAAAATAAATGGTGAGATAATGGCCTTTAAATATGTATTGTAAAATTCCATACATTTTGAAAGATCATACATGTGTCAAAATTGACCATTGACCATTGCAGTACTTCACACATATGATCTACTAACTACTACTTATATGGGACTAGACATAAGATAGTTAACTGTGCACTGTCCCTGTTAAATAAGCTAAATACAAACCACTAAATGAATTTGATAAACGTTGCTGTCCTTCTATTGTGGTGTCACAGATGGCATACACAAAACACTGTCACCATGTAAACATTCAATGATTTAACTACAAAAAGGAACAATTCAAAGGTATATATTGATGCGGGTTGCTTACTGTTCGATGCTGGGGGAAAGGTAGAGTTTAGGGAAGACTTGTGTAGCCTCAGCATCCTCGAAGCTCACTGAGAGAAGGGCCACATCCTCTCCAGGGTCCAACGCTGTGTCCTGAGAAAGAGAAAGCAAACGTTGGTAGGGTTATTTATCAAAAGCAATATCGCTGGGAATAACTTCTTTGGACTGTCGGAGTTAAGGACGGGGTAAGAATCAAATGAACACGTTTTAGGGTTGTCGACACATTTAAAGGAAATCCGCATACTGTAGAAAGCAAAGGAAGAGTTTCTGATGTTTGTCGGTATCCCCTCTCACGGAACACATGACACTGTTTTTATATTAAATGTATCAATCCACACTGACTCCAACTAGGCCCCAAGGGTTTGTTTGCCACTCAAAATATTTTTATTTTCCTTCTGTGTGATTTGGTAAGGCATAATCTCAACAGACAGATGTTTAAATCACACCACCCTTACTGTCTGTAATACTGAATTAAGGCCCCCTTATGAATTTGGGTTCACCAGCGCTCTCTAAGTTGAGCAGAATCAATCAGTGAATGAATAAATAAAGCAATGATGAATCATTTGTTGGATCCTGAATGAAAACTATATATCTTCACAGTTAGGTCTGTAGAGTTCATCCAACCTTAGCTCCTCCTGACAGACAGCTGGTTGGACAAACAAAGGTCAGAGTCGTAGTGGATTGAATGGACAGAATGCCTTGTACTGCTCACATCTGGACTTGACGTAGGTTACAAGAACAGGCAAAAGTGTACCTGTTCGTAATGCCACACGTAAAAGGGAGGGGCAAAACAAAGGCCTGGCATCACAGAAAAGAGTATTACAGAATAATGGTTCAAATGGGGATAATAATATTTGGACAGTATCTCCTTGGGCATTCATAGAGTTGGCACTCATTGTACTTTTCTCAAATTTCACATCTGGCTAAAGGCTGTATGAAGGGCATACAGTTGTCAACTTTTGAAAGCAACAAAATGAGTAGAAGTGGTGCACCGATTTCCACCAATGATGATGCGGGAGGACTTTAGTGAAGAACATTGTTTGAAGGATACCGATTCCTTTTCCTATGTCCGTTGGTTCCATGTTTCAAGGTAGTCACTTATCCATATAAGTACCCATCATCTTCCGTTTGTAGGCAGGCAGCTTTTGCCCTAGCAGATGGAGAATCAATCTAAGACACGATTCAAAACCGAACGTCGGGATCATACACTACTGTGTGTGTACAACAAGTGTGCAAGCCCTTAACATGTTGAAAGAGATAGAGAGGCTAGGGGAAAGACACCAGAAGAAACATCTGTTTTGTTTCATGCCACATTAGCTTCAACAGCTGCACTATGAGTCTGAGCTGATGACTGGGAGCACCAATCAAATCATGTGTGAGATGGATGCAGAGGCCACCCGGAGCTGCTCACTACAAACCTCATCTGTCTCTCCAAGGTTCTAATTTCTCATTTTGTGATGTTTTTCCTAGAGCATGGCTACTTCTCCGGCACTGTCATTAGTGCAATTCCACATCAAGTACCATTCCGGGCCGTGTCTCCCGACAGAGGCTCGGCGTCGTTAATCAGATGTCTTACAGATGGTTTGAACTCATCCATTTGTTATAATCGCTCCCTGCCTTGGTGAGAGGAAATCTAACCACCACACATGATGGACGGAGGCAACCGGTTTGCAGCAGAGGCAGCCTCAGACGTGGCAAGGCTTATTAGCTAATTACACACACTCTGCCGATCAGGAAACCAAACTGACCCATGGTTTGAGAAAAACACGGCTGAGTGGACGGAAAGAGAAATTCCTTCACTGAACATTCTCTCCCGAAGTGGAGTGGAAATAATTTTCCTGCATGTAATCGAGTGATTTGTGTTTAATTTAAGAAATAAACAACCAAACATGGAATACCACTATAAGGTTAATTAAAAACAGTTCAGTACATTTATAGCACATGCTTAAGCTCTGCTATCTGACGATCACGCAGTCTGCCTTGTCGTGGCGGATACATTAAAGAGTAGAAGGGAGGCGATGAAAGACAGTGTGTGGCATCCAAAAGTGTTGCCTGATGGAATCAGCTCACATCAATAAAGTGTGCATCAGTAAACAAGAACTGCTCTCTGTCTCACAGCAGCGCTCGCAGGCTTCTGCCGCTGACGATATGGGACAGATAGGAACAGGCGTGGGGCCGGGGTGGGCGTGGGGTTTGGGGAATAGATTGTTTTGCTCCAGTTTGTAGCTGTCAAGTCCCGTTCTCATCTCTAAAGGTGATTTAATGGATGCTTCTTTTGGACTGGGTAAGAGTAAACAGACGGATGAGAAGCAACAGGAAGGTGAGAGGGCCAGAAGAAGAACACGGGACAGCTCTGTGCCGGCTGGACTGGGTCTCACTGAGGGCGCTGCAGAAGGGAGAGCCTTTTTGAGGAATGATTCAGACTCCTTTTGTCCCAGCTGTGGACAGCGGAGAGCTGTCACAAGTCATATTGCATCAGTGAAACAAACACACAAAAACTAAAAGGCAGAACCTTTAACTTTTAGCTGTTGCCATTCTAAATTCATGTGCTGAAACGATGTAGAGAATGTTTCTTTTATTCTGCCCTTGTATAACTATACACCACCACATGTATTTCAAACTTTGAAGGAGGGGTTAGGGAAAAGTAACATAATGATATTGACCATCTATAATGTTCTCCCAAGTTTACTATCTTAATTTCATATTTAACATATGAAAATAACGTAATTAGCACTAAACACAAAGTACAGTCGAGCAGATGTCTCAATGTATTATTCTATATGACTATAATCTATTGACCTTGTGAATGCTCAGAGGGAAACGTCACCAAGGTTGTTATAATTCATCCTGAGGGGGAAATTAATGTAATAGATAGACACATGTCACAAGGCAATGCAACTTTTATAACTTCATTTTTAAAATATTGTAGCTTTGAATGACTACTAAGAGCAAAACAAATCTTTGTGTCTCTGAAGCTGTTTAACTGCCAGGGGTGGCCTTGCTTAGCGGTTGTAAATTAGAGGCATTTTAAAACGTCTCTCAGGATTCTCTTCTTCCAAAACTTTGCAAATCCATACAGGAAGCTGTGAATAGATAGCCTAATGAGAACAAAAGCTGACCTTTGAACCTGCCTGCATTGAAACCATTACTTAAATTGAAACAGAAGAGCTCTGTGAGGAAATAAAAGCCCCCAAATGGCCATTAATGTTTCTGTGCACACATACACACATCTTAAGCCCTTTTAACCAAATACACTTGAGGGCAACTGCTGCTTGCTTATGTAAAGAGTTAGTCGAGTAGGGACATTACAAAAAGCCTTTCCTCCGCAGGCCACAGGCAGGACCCTTAATGAAGAGACTTCTTCTTTGGTAAGTAATGAGCACTGAAATGGCCCGGGTTAGAGGAGTGCAAGACAAGGGGGGGTCCTGAAGGGTTCGCGGTTCAACGTCAAAGCAGTATTTACTACACACCTCTGGGGGATAAGTGACTCAAATGCTCAAGGACTGGATTTCAGAAAGCGGGTTTAAAGTGCGCGAGCGTGTGGACATCAAGGTTAGAGGGTGCCTCGGAGTCAAAGCCTTTCACGTGGCCACCACCCCACGTCTTCTGTCCGCCTTACTCTTTCAGACACATGAACACGCACATACACACACACACACACACACACACGCACAGACTCCTTTTCCTTGGGTCCTGATGCCCCGGCCTCTGGCATCTCCTCTGTGTTGCATGTGACAGGTTGGAGATGTGACAGCTGTCCTTATGCCAGACCAAGGCTGGCCAAAGTCACAACACACACAAACACACTCATCCGCGAACACTACACAGGGGCTCTACTGCAGGGCTCGTACGGAGGAGGTAAGGGCACTTTGTCCGCCTTCTTCGCCCAACTTTAAATGTCATGCCCAACGTAATGGGGCGATTGATTGACAGCATGGTTGTTGTGCAAGGACATGTCCAGCTTCTAGGCGAGCGGCTTTGAGTGCCCCTGTACATGTGCTGGACACACAATGAGTACAAGGCAGCGGCTGGAAGTCAGGTAAGACATTTTGAAGAACTCTGGAACATGGGTTAGGGCAGTGGTTCTCAAACCTTTTCTGTCATTCCCCACTTTGAACAGGTGGGCCTTTTCAAGCCCCACCTGTTCCTCATCGCTCCAATAAAATGGTAGGCCAAGCTTAAAATGGTCAAATGTATCATTCTATAACAGGGGTCTCCAACCTTTTTTAGGATGAGAGCTACTTTCAAAAAATAAAACAAGTCGTGAGCTACTTTTACTCCTCTTTTTTTTGTTTTTTGCAGTGTATATATTTAGCACATTTTAACATTATGATATGCTGACCTTTAACCTTTGTGTGCTGTTTGGGTCTGTGGGACCCGTTTTCAGTGTTTACTAAAAGAAAATGTATGCAATTTAATTATTTGAACCTGCTTTATTTGGGGGTGGACCTCACATCCTCTAGGGGGGTCCGGGGCAATGCACCCCCGGGAAGATTTTTTTTTAAATGTTGAAGTTAAAGGTGGGGTAGGTAATTTTGGAGAAACCGGCTCGAGTACGCTAGAATTTGAAAATACACAGCCGGAAAAAATCTGCCACTTCCTTATAGAGCCCCTCCTCCAACACACACGAACGCGCACATGACCAATGAGGGCACGGGATAAGTTTGTGCACAGATGGAAGACTGACAGGCAGGTAGGCCATCCAGTTATTTTAGCCGGGCCGGCTAAAATGATTGGTCGTGCTTTTTACAGTATTACGGCTTCCACAGATGACATTTTTTTATGGATTTTTTGTCAAAGCACTTAAGATATTCATTGCTATCGGGATGTTAAGAGCATTCCATGGAATATAACAAAAAGTGTATCTCGAGCCGGTTTCTCAAACTTACCTACCCCACCTTTAAATGCATCACCTGGTGCACTTTGAGCACAACATGAATTGATGGATACAGCTCTCAACACTCATACGAAAGGGAGCTGTATACTTTTCAATAATCCAAACATCTTTAGAATATGATCACAACCAATAACAAATCATTTAAACTTGTTTATTCTTATCTTATGTTACCTAGTTAGTATTCTTTCTTTTTCTT